TGGTTTCTTAGTGAATTGAAAACCACCCTGACCCAAGGCATGATCTTTATATTGTGTCTGACCGTCACGAGGGAATCATTCATGCCGTTCAAAACATTTTCCCGAACGCAGGTCATGGGTACTGTACAGAACACATTGCCCGAAACCTGCGCGCGAAATTCAAAGGTCCTAAAGAAGACCTAACTTGGAAGTTCAGAAAAGCATCACGTGCTGCAACTGAGGTGGAGTGCCCTTCAAATGCTGGAAGAGCAAGACCACAGAATACGTGCATACCTATCCCAAATTGGTCAAACAAAATGGGAACGTTGTAAAAGTGGGCCATACCGCCACTCTGTAATGACATCAAACCCAGCAGAATCAATGACAAATGTCAACAACTCAGCACGTGAATACCCCATATGCAAGCTAGTTGATTTCATTCGCGAAAGGATGCAGAAATGGTTTCATGAACGCTTTGAAACAACCTCAAGTACATCAACCATACTTCCAAATAAGCTTGAGTCGGAGTTAATTACATTGCAACGTGATGAATTTAAGATGAAGGTATACACTCACTTACTATCCATACAGTATAACTATTAAAGAATACAATTACACTGCAATACACTTACTGCATACAATTATACACCGCATTATTAACATTCCAAATTTGTATAGGTTAAGCCAGCATGCCCATATGAGTTCGAGGTTGTCGACAGGTGGACCCGGACATTTGTGGTAAACCTCAGGGACAAGTCATGTACGTGCGGGGACTTCCAATTAGACCATTTTGTATGTGTCCATGTTGTGGTAGCAATAGGATCTCGTCCAGGACTGTCATGCTATAATTTCATCTCCCCATACTACAAACGTGAAGCATTGGTAGCCACCTACAGCGGTATTGTGCACCCAATAGGAGACAAGTCCACGTGGGACATCCCTTGTGATGTCAAAACAATGGTTTGCAAGCCCCCATCATGCAACAAGCGCCCCCTGGGAGGCCAAAGAAGAGGAGGCTACCATCCGTTGGTGAATTTCAATTCAACAAAGGTCGGAAAAAACAGAAGTGCACCCGGTGCTTGAAGATGGGACACAATATAAAGACATGCAAAAACCCAATACCAACTTGACAATGTTTATTATATTTTTACAAGCTCCTGCTTTAATATCTAATGACCTTCCATACATTCCCAAATAAATAACACACCCCATACATTTCAATGCATGTGATACATACTTCTTGGAAGGTGTCAGTGTGTTTTTAAAAACCCAACCCCTATGATACAGAGATTCATTATTACTCTTTCTAAATGTAGCTAAATTATGTAATAAACTCAACCACAACAATTCAAAGTTATTTGCACACCACCTCTGTCACACCCACCGAGAATTAAAATAAAAATTCACATTACACACTGCAAATAAAATCACATTTTCCATAATACCTTTTCACTTTTACATTACACACTAACTTCAGACATAAAGCGTTACACTGCAAACACAAATTAAAAAAAAAGGTACACTGCACTCAATCATGAACGACCTACCCTGGCTACAAAAAAAACTGGCCAAAATCACATGCCCAATACCAACATAAAACTAGGCGGAATTTAATCACAACATATCCCAATGAGGCAGTGTGCCACCATATATCCGAAAAAACTGAGATGGTTCACTACTCCACCCAACGTCACCGACCAACCATATCCTCTAGCCCGCTTAGCTAATACAAGATTTTTCTACTAGGCGGTGTACCCCAAAATAAAGAATGTTGTTGGGAAAAATATCATAGATTTTGATGATGATGTATTTAGAATGTAATAGGGACTTTAGGTCTCCCCCAATATTCAATGTAATTTTTCTTTTTAGAAATATTGTTAAAACCAAGTTCTTGAGTTTTCCATTAAGGTTGTGATATTTCTTTAAGCGTTTTGATGCCTGAAGACTTAATCAAATTCAGTGATATGGAAATTGGATATCTTAATCGGAAAAGCTAGAGACAAGTAAGGATTTCTCAAGCAGATGAAAATCCTCTGTTCCGGAAGACTACATAAGAACCGGATGTCTCGCTACAACCCGCTGAAAGCTAAGTCACCCAAATCGGAAGACTAGCGCGGATCTCTCTCTCACCCGGAAGTCTGAGAATGACTTCT